GAGTAAGATATAAAATAATATAAAACAATCCTGCTATTTATAAATATATACAGGATACCTTTTCTGACATCAGTTGAGAATGGATACTTCACCTCTGAGTAAGATATAAAATAATATAAAACAATCCTGCTATTTATAAATATATACAGGATACCTTTTCTGACATCAGTTGAGAATGGATACTTCACCCCTGAGTAAGATATAAAATAATATAAAACAATCCTGCTATTTATAAATATATACAGGATACATTTCCTGACATCCAGTTGAGAATGGATACTTCACCCCTTACTGTGTGTGTGGGCCCAAAAAAAGGAGATCCAATGTTTGACAACAAAGGAAACGAGATTGGGTGCCTCCCTGGCGATTGATATATGCCACCACTGTAAAATAACCAGACCATTGCAGGCAAGATGAAGAAAATGATCCAAAGCCTGATGGACGGCAAGAAGCTTCAGGATATTCAGAAGGAGAAAGGTAATATGAACATTCAAGGGATCCCGTGCAAGGTTCCATTGGTAGTGAAGAGTCCATTGAAGGGATCTCATATCAGCATGACCCATGGGGATAAGTGCCACCATAGAGAACCACACCCCCAAGAAAGAAAGGACCTTATGAGAAGTAATAAAGAAGCAGTAAGAGCATTAGTGAGTAGAAAAGAAGAAGGTTGGGCTTGACTGAAATGAGTGTTGAACAAGACACCTAAATGGATAAGATATTGGGTAGGAACAAGGAAGGAACAACTTGATCAACCAACCAGCCCGAGCTGCCTCTAAAAGAAGCAGACGAGTGTGTTGGGCAGACTCCAGTTCGGAATGAACCAACAGTAGCCAGACGTCCATGTAATGGTGGAAGAGCAAATCTAGAGCATGCATAAGTCTAGCAAAAGCCTTGACCACCTGACAAAATACATACAGTGCCATAGCAAGCCCAAGAGATAGAGCATGAAATTGATAAACCACCCCGTGGTGAACAGACTGAAGGTAGAGACTTGAATGCCGCGATATGAAAATATGAAGATAGCATTCGAGACGTAAATGGTAAAACGAGGTAGCGCTAAGAAGTAATTGAGGCGTGATAGATCGATCACAGGCTGCCAATCTCTGGGTTCCTTGGGGCCTACAAACAGCCTGGAATAAAATCCTGGAGAAGGGTGAACCACAGGTTCGATAGAATTCTGTGAGAAAGAAGATCCTGCACTGCCTTGTTCAGATACTGATATGTGGTAGGATCCCGAGGAAACGGGTATCCGAGACAATGGAGGAGGGGAGAGGAAGTTGATGACAAGTCCCTTGGATAAAACCTGAAGGACCCATAGATCCCTGGCGAAGTCTCACCATAGATGAAACAGCTGGGATAAACAAGCCACCACCGAACCGGAACCCACAGAATAGTCACTGATACTGTTGGTGGCATGACACTCGGTGTCAAATAAAACGACAATTTCAAAGTTAAGTGTGCTGGTAGAAGGTACAACTCTGACATAGTAACTTGCACTTCAGGATTCATAATGCAACTGAAAATTAAACACAACTATGTTGGTAAAGAAAGAAATGCATGGAAAAGTAACTAAGTTGCATAACTGGGTAGAAAATTAATTAATACCATGACTGAATGAGGTACAAATGAAAACTATTTAAAATAAGCAGGTAATTTGAAAAATAATCAATACAAAATTTGAAGAGAGGACCAAATAAAATGTCCGAACACAAGCACTGCCAAACGACAAGTGATAGTTAGATAGAACAGCATAGAGGGAGTCACACGAGTCACGTGCGTGGGAGGTGCATCTATTAGTGGAGGTTTGTTGCATGAAAATTTGCATGCGAGAATAAGTTAAACAATATGAACTGAGGGGTACGTGGGAGTGAAAGGCTTGTGCCATGCAAAAAAAATTTGCAAACAGAGGGCAGCACTGAACGAGAATAACTATGTAAGTGAGCCGAAGTAAGGTACCTTGTCGGAAACAGTTAATAACAAGAGAGTAATTTTTTCCCATTCAAAATGCAGCAAAGTTTGTTTTATTCCTTAATATGAATTTGTTCCTACGACAAGTTCCATATGATCACTCAAAAGTCACACCAAGCTGTATATTTGTTATAATGATAATATAGTGTTCAGATGCATTCATGGCTATATAATAACAAGCAGCCACAAATATCAGCAACTGAATGTTTCCTAAATGTAAACTCCTTAAATAAATGTAGAAGCCCTATGAATGAAATAACGTGGTAATGTTGCTGTTCAACAACTGCACTATATGCAAATTGGTATGTTTTTATACATCTTATCTTTGCTTTGCATGAAGAAAAATTCTGAGCATGTCTGCATGCCAAAACAAATCAAATTCTAAGTTTTCTACTTTCTATCAGATTCCTACTACACAAAACACATGGATAAATTGCAAGGTTACTTGACCTTAGCAAATCCTGCACATACCTTATCATCTCCATCCCAACAACAGATGCTCGACGGAAGCTCGGAGGATCCTCCTCTGCATTGGTGGAGGCTGTCTTACTTTCACCTTTGTTAACTTCACCTGTCTGGGACTTGGAAGAGATTATACCCGATTTCCTCATGACTCCATTGCACTGATGAGTCTCAGAGAAGTCAGTGAGCATTTCTAATATTGTACATTTTGTTTCTAAGTAGGAAAGTCCAGTAGAACTTTGCCTCTGTCTTCCTGAATGAGTAGATGACAATTTTGTTTTTCCACTTTCTGGCTTTCCTACTTTTTGCTGGCATCCATTCTTTCCAAACTGATCTTTACATTTGGGTGCAGAATCTTGCATATCTGTTGGAGGGCCACTTGAGAGCTTTGCTGGTTTTGGCGGTAGTGTTGGTGGCGTGTTGTCATCTCGGGAAGATAAAGCAACGGATTTCTGAGGCAGTGGTGGTGCTTGCCTATTGCTAGTGTTTCTAACACTAGCTGTAGTTGAGTTATTCACTGGAGAAGGTACTGGAATCTTTAAATTTTTCACAACACTACTTGAAACAGTTTCCTTTTGGCTTTGAGATTTGTTTTGTTTCTGAGAGCAATGGCCTTCAGAAAATAGAGCTGGAGGCTTTGGGAAAAAAACTGTTCCTTGAGTATCTAGATTCAGCAGAAAACTTTCACTTCTTGGTGCAGAGAAGATTTTGTTTCTCGTAACATCACTGGTCCCAAGGGTGTCTGTAGAAGAAGCAGGTTTCAATAACTTCTCTTCTTTATCATCAAGAAGATCGTTCTCACTTTTACTCTTATCTAAGAACCCGGGAGGATCCTTGAATTCTACTGGAGGAGAGGGAGGATCTCCTTGGTTTGATGTTTCTAAAGTGTTTGACTCTCGTTCTAAAGTGTCAAGACTAATAAACATTTTTACATGAGAATGACTGATGCTTCTCGTTTCTTCCTTTCCTTCAGCTGTGGAGGTAGCTTTCTTGGTCCCTGACAATCTGCCAAGTGTTTTCTTTACATGCTTCGTAATTTGCCCACTCTGTTTTGCACTACTGTTTTGGGGTTCTCTGCTTCTAAGATTTGAAGTGTATGTTTTTAAGTTATCTGCTGATGCTGTTGAACTGAGTTTGTGAGAAATTGCCAAACTATACTTATTGGGAGACGAAGAATGCCGAGAAGAATTTTTCTCCAGGTGGAAGGATTTGTCTACAGGGGGAAAGAGAGAGTTTGATGACACTGTCTCCAACCTTTGTCTTGAAGGAGGTTTGTAAATGGCACTTTGGGGAATTGATGAAGATTGGCCCAGAAAATCTGTAGCCTTAGCATTAGTGTCCGAAGCACAGTACCTGGCTTTAGGTGGAGGAGGGGGAGGAGGAATTATCACAGTCAGGTCTGGCATTGACTCACTGGTTGTAATAGGAAACCTTACTTCACTTTCACTGGAAACTGACAGGGTGCTCTGAGAGTGACGAATCCCACCATCTAATGGAAATGATGCTCTTTGGGGCCGGACATTGTTGGCACTAAAGCCTTTACCAAAGTCTAACTTTTTGAAACCTAAAAGAACCACAGAGTTACTACTACTACTAAAATGAGGTCTCTTGAGCTGTTTCAGAAGGTTCGTAGTCCTGGTTTTCAATTTCACTTTTGAGCGAAAATTCATTTTAGGTCCTTTCTTAGAAGATCCGCAAATGGTGTATTCTTCATGGTTCAAGTCTAAGTCCAGCTTCAAGTTGGTCAAAAGTTTTTCCCCACATGATGTCTTTCTTGTGGGAAAACATATCTGGGCTTTAGTGACTGGGGACGGGATAGGCTCAGAGCTCCAAGAAAGAACAGAAGGGCTTGAAGGAAGGCTAAATACATTTTGAAAATCCTGCTGTTTATCAACACCTTTTGAAGAATCCATTTGGTCTGGTAACAGGCTAGGGTTAGAACTTTTCTCCTTATCATCTACAAGGAAATTCAAAGTTGACATACTGAGCATAGATTCTAAAAAAAGAGAAAGGGAGAAAGTTAAGTCAAACTTTATAATAAAGGTGGTGAGACATACAACTTAACACTCTACATAAAGAAACATTTTTAATGCAGCTATTTACAAAAAAGAACACTCAACACCAAACTCACGAGAACAATGACTGTTATGAGAAAATCTTCTGGCTAGTTCCTGGTAATGTTCTTCATAGATAATTGGCAGAGAACCAAGATCACCGTCCAAGTCCACACACTCCACCTCCACAGGAGGGAGAAGATTTAGATACTGCGACCGTCGTAGTGCTTCTGTAACATCCATGTAATTCTGGTAACTGAATACACACAAAATAGTGATGTTATTAACTTCCAAATATTCACTGTCTTTGCCGTTGTAGAAATGTTAAAGTAAGATATAAAATAATATAAAACAATCCTGCTATTTATAAATATATACAGGATACCTTTTCTGACATCAGTTGAGAATGGATACTTCACCCCTGAGTAAGAAAAAGAATCAATTAACTTAGAAAAATTTTGAAACAGGAGTAAATGAGAGAGATGGGTTGAATTTATCTTTATTGTGTTATGTAATTCATAGGTAATTGATAATTCTTAATAGATTCCAACTATAGCAGTCATCAGAAGTAGACTTCAAATACTTATAGTTAATAACGATACAGTATATCAAATAAATTCCAGCATTAGTGACGGGCGTCAAACAATTTGTTTTCTTTATGTTTCAAACTTCTGTGACAAGCTATGCAAGTGCTATCTGTGAATGTGAACCCAATATTTAACCTTTTCCACATGGGTCAAAGGCCATGTCATCGCATTTGTTGACTCACATTCAAATTGTTACTTAACTACTATTTTATGTCATTAAATTTGGTATCAAACTGTAGATTAAAAGTCAAATTTTAGTATTATACACTATTTAATTTCTTAATTTAAATAAAAGTAAATATTAAAAAACACACCTAAACATTGATTTTTGTGTGTCACGTGATATGTTGAATGCAGCACTGATTCAAATTAGATGTTTGTGATGTCAAAATACAAATTCTATAGTTTTGTATGAATTAGGAACTCAGATTACTGACATTGACAAGCTAGAATATAAAATAAGAACCCCCCTATCTTTTCTTATTTCTGAGATATTTCTCATTACTGAATCAAATGCAGTGGCCCAGCTCACCTCTTTCCATTTTTGGAAACAGTTCCTTATATACACTTACTTCTATAGTTGACATGTGAATGTCCCCCTAGTGGCTTTCTCAGTCATTTTCAAATATAAAGTCGTTATATCTTTCTCTCAATACAAGACGGCATAGAGGTAAGTCGAGTCTTTAGTCTGCTCAAATTTCATATTTTTTTAGACCCAAATATGGCCTTGTTACTAAAATTAATAAATTATAATTTAGTTTTATGGTATCGATATTAGTAATTTATAATCTTTTGGTTATTTAAATGTATATATGTAAAACCTAAAAAAAATTATTTTGTTTCACATCCTCCTCGTGCGAAATTCGATAAGGCTTAGCAACCTATGGCAAGAAACAAACAAGTACAGAGATCGTAACTAGAAGAGATAATTGTTTGCTTTATTTCTTTATTTTCTGTTCTATTTTTTAAGAAAAATAAGTCTAAGAAGTTATTTGTAAATAGTAATAATCTATATACATATATAATGTACAATAATTGAAAT